CGACTCACAGGTACGTCCTAGTTACAGACCCTAACGACTCACAGGTATAACTCAGTTACAGACCCTAACGACTCACAGGTACGTCCTAGTTACAGACCCTAACGACTCACAGGTACGTCCTAGTTACAGACCCCAACGACTCACAGGTACGTCCTAGTTACAGACCCCAACGACTCACAGGCATAACCTAGTTACAGACCCTAACGACTCACGACGGAGAGTCGACGGAGGCTAATGACTCGTTAGCCTCCGTCGACTGAAACGTAAACGTTGAGTGAGAAATGTGTGTCGGGCCTTCAGGTCCAAATAAAGCCAAGTTTTCAGCAACAAGTTGCTCCATAATTCCACGTTTCATGCCGGCAGCTGCTCCAGATGTTTCTTGTGATAACCATATTTTACGCTTGTTCACAGTTTAAGGTCGGTGTGATCAGATTTGTTGAATTGTAGTTGTTCTTCCAGATGTTTCTGTGGACAGGCTTCTGCGTCACCACTGCTCCCCCGCCTCCTCTCTGTTGCTGTGATCTTCTGATTCTAACTCCTCCTGTTGTCCTCGGTACCCGGGTCTCATCAAGTCCACTTCGCTCAGGAACGGCGCCAGGAGTCGACGCGTCCATCCGGTCTTTCTCTCTGTTGGGGGGGAGTGGTGGGAGTCACGTCACAGCTCAAAGTTTGAGGTTAATTTGTATTTAAAGCCAAGATAAACAAGTTTACCGTGTGCGTCTGTAAGATCCAAACCCTGTCCTGTGCTGTTTTCACGTGTGACTGAATGCGGTGAGTGAACTCGCCGGTGTCTGTCTGGTGCAGCTGCTTTGCACAAAACAATCCTTCATCTTAAAAAAGGAACGTTTTCTAACCTTTGTCGCACTGTTCCAAGGGACGCAGAGACCGCCGCCGCGTTTGGGAAAGTCCAGATTAAATCACCTGATTTATGCAACTAATGACGGAATGAGCCTAAAGCCATCACGTGTCCATGAGGACGTTTGATCACACCTTACATTGGAATGTCAAACATGCTCAGATCTAGCTATAGATAGAAAAGTTTAAAACCTGAAGAGTCTTAAAGGTATTTTAATGTAAAGAGGGATGATGGTTTGAATTATTTCCTATCAGCATCATTTCTGCCTTAGCCATGATAAACTTCACAAAGCGTTGATTTCCTTCACGCTGTGTTTGTGTGCATCAGAACAAGAATTCAGTTTTCAAGCAGAACTCGTTTTGTCTGGACAAGATGTCGTCGTGCCTCCGTTTTCTTACTCGTTTGTGGTCTCGGGCGTCGGTCAGCATCTCTCGCCTTGTTGGAATAAACTGTGCCCTGCATGACTGTTATAAGCTCTGTACACAAAGACCACCATGTAAAGTGCCACGCGAGTCGGGCGGGTCCGCCGGCAGAGCGCCCGGGCTCTTTGTGTTCCACCTCTCTTGTTTTTCAAACACTTTCCGTTCGCTTGCTTCAGCTTCTCTCTCCGTTCAACACTTCGCTTTTTAATCTGCATGCTAATCGTATTTTAAAAGTTTAAAAATAAACTTTTGATTTGTAACGAAGCCAGAAAAGGTAAAAGCTTTATTTTTTTGCTAAAGTTTGGGTCGTCGTGCACCGGCAGCCGTAAAAAACAGCTGAAGTTAAGACTGCTGACCCCGTTAAAGACTGTTAAATTTAATACATTTAATTCCAAAGGTTTTTAAAACTAGGTTTGAATTTGCAGCTTTTTTAGAAAAAAGGTGCCCGGTGGTTTTCCGCCTGCAGACCCACGGTATCATTTCTTTACAAAGGCCCTCGACTGGTTCGGTTCTGCTCTGGGTCCGGCGTGTACTAGAAGCTGATGCAGCAGATCCCCCGACGGTCTTTGTTCAGGACATCAAGAGCTTTATTCTAAAAAAACGTTTTTAAAGCAGTCTTTGCTGTTTTTTTAAGAACTCAAATTCAAACTCTTGAATTTTTGGTTTGATCTAAAAAAAAAAACAAGCACAGAATTTTTATTTAAAAAAATGTTGCCAAGTTGAAACTGACACAAGTCGTAAATCAAAGTCAACAAATAAAAATCTGTCGTTTCAGTTTTGGTTCAACAATTATTTTAAAAAGCAAACTAATAAAACGTCCTCAATTAAAAAACAAAGACTGTCCCTCCACAAAAAACTAAGACTGCCCCTCCATAAAAACCGAAGACTGTCCCTCCATAAAAACCGAAGACTGTCC